CTGTCCTTAACTCCAGTTCCAGGGGAATCCAAAGCCCTCTTCTGACCTCTGCAGCATTGCACGGCATGGGTGCACTCACATACGTGCAGGCAATGCACTCATACTCATAAAAAAGGATTTTAAAAAAATTTAAAAATATTTTAAAAAAAGATTTAATGAGTTCCAAGATGGCTGAAGAGATGGCTCTGGCTGCTCTTGCAGAAGATCCGGGTTCAGTTCCCAGCAGCCAGATGGTGACAACAACCATCCATGACTCTAGTTCTAGGGGATCCAATGCCCTCTTCTGACTTTTGTGGGCATTGCATGACATGGGTGCTCTTACATATGTGCAGGCAATACACTCATATACGTAAAATAATAGATAAAATATTAAAAATATATCTGAGAAAAAAAACTGTAACATATTCACAGGCGCGCACATCTTAAGTGGTCCCCTTTACTTTTAAGACACTGTAGTAAGGTGTCAGTAAAATAGTTATTTATATTTTAATAGTGAAATTTTTCAACTGCACATCTCTAAGAGTGCTGTGTACTGAAGACTCTATGCCATAGTGACACAGAAATTTGCAAGTTGCTGAAACCTCCAAAGCAATTCACTCACTACAACGTAAAACAACTTTTCTATTCTTCAAGGTCAAACTCTGATCTTTCCTTCCTTATCCCCAATAAATGGGGGTATTATAAAATATGTTGGATGAAACAATCCAAGGCTTTTATAAAACAAGTCAGTCTTGCTGCAAATAGCTTAAGATGTCCATACTCTACTTCAGTATTGATTTTAAGTCTTTTAACAGTTTAAGCTGACCACAAACCTCCCCTTCCACTTCTTTTATAGAACATTCTCCTCCTTAAACTTCCGTTAAAAAAAACAAACAAAATGAGCCTTCCTATACCTCCCAGTCCTCCTCTTCCACATTCACAAGCACAAAACTCCCAATGAGAAATGGGTGTAACATAACATGTGAAAAGTTTTTAATTAAAATACTACTTTACCCTTAAAAAGTATATTGTAAACAATATGGCCAATGCAGAATCCCAGAATACCAAATTTTAAGGCTACAACAAAAATGTCTCCATAGTAGTCTGATTACTGAGTGAATATGTAAAAATAGAGCACTGTTACAGCTTACTACTACATTTTACATATGACATTTTCACTTAAGAATAAAATTTCCCATGTTAAGCATGTTTTTCTCAAAAAGCAGATTTAAGAAAAGAACCCGAGGCTTGCTGCCAAAACTGGAACCCTGAGTTCCATTCCCAGTAGAAGAAAACTGGCTCCCACTAGTTCTCCTCTGACCTCCACAAGCCATGGCATGTACATGCCCATATTCTCATATTCTCTCTCTCTCTCTCTCTCTCTCTCTCTCTCTCTCTCTCTCTCAAAAACAATAGTAATAATAAAGTTTTTAAGTAAAAAAAAATTTTCCTAAAGATATACACAAATTGTCTTAAAATTAGGATCAAGGGAAGAATTATGCTTTCAGCTCCTTCAGTAGGAGTGCCTGGAGCCCAATGGGTGCTGTCCTTCTATTCTGTCTCTGCCACAGGGTCAGGGCTGTCTGTTTCTTAGGCATGTCTGTTTCCCCAATTCCTTACACAGTGTCTGGCACAGAGTGGGTTACAGAGTGAATGGAAATGTAAACTAGACTTATATCCCTGTTCAAATCTGCACACATATATTCCTGTTGGATGAGGTGGGTATACATGTGCACACATACAAAAATAGTATAGAAATATAGGGGTTATTATTAGGGTGCCTGGTACAGTCTGTGAGGTTTTAAAAAAATAAATTCAAAATAGCCTTCTGGAAGTTTATTTTCTAAGAATCTTGCTGACAGTGTAAGAGCAACCCCCTGTGGCTGGCCCAGCCCAGCCTCTCGTGGCCACCTCTGTCTTCCCCCCATGCAGGGCTGGCTCCCCAGGATATATAAGCCTCTGTGGACCTCATGCATGAGTCAGCAGGGCCACCCGTTCAGACACCTTGTGGCACAGCACGGCTTTCAAGAGGAAACCTCTGCCCTGCCTACACTTAGGTCCTTCTGTGCAGGCTGCTGCAGCTGGGACCCAAGATGCCAGCTGTCCAGCTGCTGTTTCTGGCCTGCCTGGTATGGGGAATAGGGGCCAGGACAGCACAGTTCCGAAAGGCCAATGATCGGAGTGGCCGATGCCAGTACACCTTCACTGTGGCCAGCCCCAATGAATCCAGCTGCCCTGAGCAGGTTCAGGCCATGCCAATCATCCAAGATCTTCAGAGAGAAAGCAGCGTCCAGCGTGCAGACCTGGAGTCCACCAAAGCCCGGCTCAGCTCCCTGGAGAGTCTCCTCCACCGTCTGGCCTTGGGCCAGGCTGTTGGACCCCAGGAGGCTCAGGAGGGGCTCCAGGGAGAGCTGAGTGCCCTGAGGAGGGAGCGAGACCAGCTGGAGACCCAAACCAGGGAGCTGGAGGTGGCCTATAGCAATCTCCTCCGAGACAAGTCAGCTCTAGAGGAGGAGAAGAGGCAACTGGGACAAGAAAATGAAGATCTGGCCAGGAGGCTGGAAAGCAGCAGCCAGGAGTTAGCAAAGCTGAGGCAGGGCCAGTGTCCCCCAACCCAACACTCCTCTGGAGAGGTGCTGCCAGGCTCCAGAGAAGGTAAGAAGGCAGCGTAGAGGGGCTGCAGGGTTCCTGGGACCTGTTACACGGCCCCAGCCTTCTTTTCTTCCTTTGTCTTTTCTCTCAGAAACTGCACGTCCAGCACATAGCCACTGCATTAAGGAGAGCAGAGCAATCACTTTTGCGTGTTTCTAGCAATTTCACTCCTAGAAACTTATTTAGGTTGTTGGTACTGAGTTCTTGTGACCATTCATGACAAAATTGTCTCAGCCCACAGCAAAATGAGAAGCACAAGGCCAAGTGAGAGGTGTATGGAATACAATCAGTAGAAAGTGGTCAACTGTCCTTTTAGATAATCATTCTTTTTCAGACTTTAGAGATTGTTATTCCTACCTTTTGGTATTAAAATGGCCTCTATGAGATGCCAAATGCTTTGTCCAATAAAAACTATTGTTTGTTTTTAATATCCTGCCTTGGGAAAATCAAGAGGAAACTATTGTTAGTTCCCTCAATATGTTTTGAAATTTTTATGTATTATTATTGTTGTTGTTGCTGCTGCTGCTGTTGAATCTGAGAACCTCTGCTTTGAGTCACCAGACTTCATGAGCTGGCCCTTCTGGCTGACTGGCTCTTCTTTTCATCCTGGTTCCTGCTTAAAGATGGGTCTTTGGGTGAGCTAGAGGATGGGCACACTATTCTCATTGGTTAGAAAACAGTATTTGTGTCACTTTTTGTGAATATTTTGCTCCCAAATAATCACTTGCTTCATGAGGAAACAAACAAATTCATGCGTAGGACACTTAGTCTGGGATCCTTGGAGAGGTCAATGTCAAGAAAGAAAGAAAATGAGGGGGGGAGGGTTCATTCTAGAGAAAGGACACTAAGAGACCTGGTACCAGTGCATCCTGGATCAGCTCCTGAATCAACAGGGGGAGAGTAGTACAAGGGGCAGGGTTAGGACAATTGGGGAAATTTGACATAGATTATTAGATGATATTATTGTAGCAATAATCAATTTCTCAGGTAGGATAACAGTATCGCTATGAAGGAGAATACCCTCTTTCTAAAAGGATGCACGCCCAACTGCTTGGGGTTGAGGTGTCAGGATGTCTACAATTTACTTTCAAAGACTAACTATGTAGAGAATGAGAGGAAGAAAGGCAAAAACAAATGTGGCCAAATATCAACTGCTGAATCTAAGCAAGTGGTAGGTGGAGAGTATTATCATAGTATTCCATCACCTTTTGTATAGGTTTGAAATTTTCCAAAATAGGGGCTGGAGAGATGGCTCAGGAGTTAAGAGCACTGGTTGCTCTTGCAGAGGACCCAGGTTCAAATCCCAGCATACACATGGCGGCTAACAACCATCCATAACTCCAGTTCTAGGAGATCCTATGCCCTCTTCTAACCTCTGGGCACTGCATGACACAGGTGCATTTACATACATGTAGGCATAACACTCATATACATAAAATTAAAAAATAAAGTTAGAAGAAAATTTCCAAAATAACACGATGAGAAACACATTTTCTAAAAAGGGCTCTCTACCTGAAAGATGAGATCTGCATAGGTGTGAGCCAAGAAAACTGGAGTCCAGGCTGAGCATGGCAGGAGGCAACCTGTTCTCTGCACATTCATTTCTTATCCATAACATAGCAAAGAATTCATGCTGTAGTCATTCCTGTGGGGTTCAAGTGAAGAACTATATGACACAGAAGTGATGTGTGTGTATGTGTGTGTGTGTGTGTGTGTGTGTGTGCAGTGTGCAGTTTAAGTCAGTACCACCATTTATGGTCTTTACATACGTATGTGTCATTTGGCTGTGTTAAGGTTTATCTCCCCTGCGCACTACCCTGCTGCTTGCTTCCTTCCAGAGCATCTCCTCTTCTGCTTTCATGTCACGTATATTCTATCACACTCTTTTCTTCCCATCAACCATAATATTTTTTAAGACGTTATTTATTTACATATATGACTGTTTTGCTTGCATGTATGTAAGTCCAGCACATGTGTACAGTGACCACAGAGGGCAGAAGAGGGCACAGGATCCCCTGGAACTAGAAATCAAATTTTGAATTTTACTTGTTTTTTGTTGTTTTTGTTTTTTCTTTTTTGAGACAGCATCTCCCTACGGCCCCAGCTGCCTTTGAACTCATTATGTAGACCAGGCTGCCCTCAATCTCACAGAGATCTGCCTGCCTCTACCTCCTGAGTGCTTAAATTAAATGTATGCATTGCTATACCTGGCCTTTATCTTTTTTAAAGATTTTATTATTTTATTATATGAATGTGTCTGTGTGTGAGGTATGTGAATGTTAGTGCAGGTACCTATGGAGGCCAGAAGAGAGCATCAGATCCTCTGGAGCTAGAGTTACAGGCAATTGTGAGCTACCTGATATGGATGCTGGGAATTGAACTCAGATCCTCTGCAAGAGCAGTACTCACTCTTAACCACTGAGAAATCTCCCAAGACCCTCAGATTCTAAATTTTACAACCAAGGAAAGCAAGCTCCTAAGGTGCTAAGGGGGCCAAGGTTGCATAGCTACTCAGTGATGGAGCAAAGACTTGAACTGAACCCTGTGAGGAGAAATGGAGAATATTACTGGTAAAAGCAATATGAGGATTCTTTCAGACTGTTTACTGAATATTATATTCTCAAAAAAATTCCACATGTATGTGTGGTATGTGTATGAGCATCTGCAAATCTTTTATCTTTGTATTATCTTCTGGTCATTTAACATGTCCTCAGGAATTTATAAGACATGTCCTCATTTTATTTTCTTGTCCTTTCTAGCCCTCTAACTTTTGACATAGGTCAACAGCCCGTTATAACCAAACATGAGAGCCCTTTTCTGGTAGTGGAGCATTTTCATGCAGGAAATCACATTAGGGCAAGAATACAGAACTGCAAAGGAAGCTTACAAGTATCTAGCTGTAGGCTCATTGTACAAATGTGGAGACTGAGGCCAGAGAGTCCACTCAACTAGTAGCTACAGACACCTAGCCAGTTGGTAGCAGCATGGGAATTAGAATTCTGTCCTCTCCTCTCGAGAGTCAGTGACCTTCGTCATCACTAATGACTTCTAGTTTATAGACTCTAAAAATAACAGAAAGGTATAGAAATGCCTAGAACAAAAATCTGTTTCCAGGCCCTAAGCTTAGAGATTAGGAGTATTCCGAGGTTCTGGAGCATGGATGGGGGTGGCCAGAAGTGACGTATGGAGTGTTGGGGTATGAGATTTGTAGATGAAGATAAGGCTAAGAAGGCAGGCTTCTTCCTAGCCCATCCATGGCTCAGACTGTCACCACCACTTTATCATGTAATTTTTATAATTTATGGAAAACGTCTCTTCAGAATCATTGAAATCACTCATTTGTATATACAAATATGCATATGACAGAAAACATTTCATTATTTACATGCACAAAAATGGAAGCATCAAATAGGAAAGTAACATTATTCACCCTAAAGATAAAACACAAGACCAGTTCTTACAGTGAGAGCTTATGTGCAAGCAGTTTTTATAGGGCTATGATCCCAGGAAGAGAAATAGGCACAGGGGAGAATGCTTCAAAGAATGAAGATAGAAAGGGGCCTCCTCAAATTGTTTACCACAGGGACAATGGAAGCTCAACCCCAGGAGTCACTTATCCCTGGACCTAAGAGGGGCTGGCTATTGCATGGGTCTCTCATCCATGAGAGATGGGGTGCCATACTGCTTCTCACAGACCTTCTCTGACCTCAGTCAAAGAAGCTGAGTGGGGAGCTGAGAGACAGTCCTAGCAGGTGGTACCTGTAAGAGTCAGGCTGCCATAGCAACTGCAGGGGAAAGGTTGGCAGGATAGGGTTGAGCAGCAGAGGTGTTCAGCAAGACCTGGAAGAGTTATCATGCAGAGTAGGGAAGAGGAGGAAGCAGCCAGGCCTGCGCCTGACAGAGTGGCCACCCAGAAAACAGATAACTACATGGAGTTTCCTTTGCTTGAGTCCTGTCATCCATGTTAAAATGTCATTCAGTGACCTAGAGACAGTGTGTGCTGGGGTTGCATCCAGCTCAACAAACTGTTTACTAGCTTTTTTTCACTTTACCAAAGTATCTGTGACAACTATGAAATATCATGACATACCTTATTCTCTTCATTTAAAGAATATTGATTGGATTTAGAAGACTCTAATAGAAAATATTTATAAAAATCATTGCAAAGCAGCCAGGCGTGGTGGCACACACCTTTAACCCCAGCACTCCGGAGGCAGAGGCAGGCGGATCTCTGTGCATTCAAGGCCAGCCTGGTCTACATAGTGAGTTCCAGGACAGCTGGAGCTACAGGGAGACCCTGTCTCAAAAAGACAAAAAAAATCATTTCAATGTTAATTGCATTTTGCATGCAAATTAGTTAATGAGAAGCTCATTTTGTTGGTCAAGCTCTCCTAGAATTGAGGTTAAGGGCAGAACAAGCAGATATTTTCCAAAATTTTGAGCCATAAGAAGATTGAATCTTAATACTAAGAACCCAAATAAAATCCCTAAAAACTTCAAATAGCTGATATAATATAGCTAATATTTTCATAATCATTTGTTTTTTTCCTGTGTTCAGAATGAAATGTTACTGTTGAGAAATACTTCAAAGAAATCTGAGTCTTTATCCAGGATTTCACTTACAGTTCCTATATAATCCTCCAAACAGTTGTGTCTATGCAACTCAGAAAGGTTGTCTTGTTCGCCCAAAGCCACACAGCCACACATGGTGGGACTGAAGGAAACTACAACCTCTGGCTCAGTCCATGCCCTTTGGCACAAACACTTCCTTGCCTTCAGCTCTCATGCCAGATGGCCCTCCTCTGGGAGTCTGAATGCTGCCAGATGCTCTTGGCTGATATGACCACAGAGCCACCAGTAGGTTTCTAATCCAACCATCCCACTTGCCAACTGGGAATGGGGCAAATGGTCTTCTGGAAGCCTTTCCCTGACACTGTTTTACTCTGGAAAGCATGTGTGGTGTGGCTTCTGTAAAAAGCAAGGAAGAGAGTGAGAGAAAACCAGAGCTGAACACTCCTGCTCTGAATCTGGGGGTAGACTCTGGTGGAACCAGGATTTGAACTCAGCCCCAGTCAGTCACCTGTGCCTCTGCTTCCCTGGCAGAAGAACTGATGGGTGATTGTGTTTTGTGGTTGTGCTGGGCAACTGACTGGAACCTGAGCTCTAGCCCAGAAAAGGGTCACTCTACAAAGAGCTGAGTAGTTCCCCTGAAAACTCCATGAGGAGAAGGAATCTACACAGTAGGTTAAGCCAGGGAAGTTTAATAGAGAGAATTATTAGTCATGTTCAAAGAGCAATTGTGTACTTCATATATAAATAATCTTCATATGGCTGCCTAGAGCAGTGCAGGGGAGGGTGGGAGGGTGGGAGGGAGGGAGGGAGGGAGGCATAGCACACAACATAGACTTGGAAGGGCTTCAGAACTCCTAGGGAAAGGCACCCTGCCCACCACAGAACACAATAGGTGCTGTTTGTCCTGGCTTCAACAGCAGCAGCGGTAAATTCTCCGGTGCACGGTTGTAGGAGGGTGACCAGAGATCTGTGGCATGGCAGAGGTCCAGAGCAGATGCAGCAGGCACCTTCGGATTACTGGGATTCCCAGGCAGGGTCTCTGGCTTCCTTGTGGAAAGTGTATGGCCAAGCGGAGGTAACAGAGGAAACATGTCCTGAGGTAGGGGACCTCTAGATGTCCTCACACACATATTTGTATGACAACCAGCTAGGACAGAGAAGCTGCAGACTTTCCTCCTCCTAGGTTGTCACTCCAGCACCCTCTACTGAGATAGTTCAACAGTGTTCGCTTCAAAGGAGAAATGTGCTTATTTTTCTAAGCACACAGGTGGAAGATAGGACAGCGCTATGAACACTACTACATTTGTAGCTGACACAACCCCCAGCACTAGGGTAGAGAGGTCACAACTGTCAGGACTTCAGAAGACAGGGATCTAACTGCCAGCCCTGACAGTTGCTAGCTGTGTGACCTTGGCAGGTTACTCAACCCATCTGAGCTTTGATTTCCTTGTTTTTAAGTGTGTGTGTGGGGGTGCGTAATGTTCACTTTCAGGACCACAGCTATGGAAAGAAGAGGTATCAGCATAGTATCCGGCTCATAGCACACAATTAGTGGTGACAATAATTCAATTTTACTAGGTGCAGATGACAGTGCTAAAGCCTGATTCCAGTCTCTGAAACTTTGAAGGCACCAGATCATAGAATTCATAAGTAGATATTTAACCACTCAAAGAGTAAATGACCATTCTCTCTCTCTCTCCCTCTCTCTCCCGTTTGTGCAGTACTTCAGTTATCCTTAAGGAAGTCATCTGTGAAAATGCCTGGCTTCTGGTTTTTTCTACTTCCCTTATTCCTCACTCCCACACTAAAGAAGAAATTTCAGTTATTCCCTGCTGACTTGCAGGGTGTGTACTTTCCTTTCTTAATATACACCTTGCTCTGTAAGTCACCAGATTGAAAACCATCCTAGCTACAGTCATAGAATGAAATAGCTCATATCTGACACCAGGAAGAGTATCTGTCAGTGACTCTCTCAGGGAGGCCTCTTCCCTTTCCTAGGACTCAAATCCTCCCCTGAATTCCTATAGGAACCTTGCACTCTTACTCGTGCAAACTGACCTCAAAAGAGATTCTGACAGAATATCTCAAAGGTGCATGTAAAGCTTAATGTGTTACTGACAATTACTTGTGTATTTCAAAATAGCTAAAAGGGTTGTGAATGTCCCCAATACAAAAAAATAATAAACGTCTGAGGTGATGGAGATGCAATTACCTTGATCATTGTAATCATATATGGAAACATCACACTGTACCCCATCAATATATAATTATGTGTCAAGTGAAAGTAAAACTATATTTGAAAACAATAAGCTTAATCTTTTATTTGCATATGACAAGGGAAAGCCCTGAAGTTGCAGTGAATGTGTAATTGTTGAAGTTCAAACATCTAAGAGGATGCTAATGACCTTCTTCATATCCCTAAACCTACTCTCCCTACTCACAAATCAATCTTCCTGGTGAAATTTATATACATTACATTAAATCCTATTGCATTTTATTTTTCACTGAATAAACAGTTACCTGTTAGACAAAGTGCTATGCAATGAATCAGTTGAAAACTTTTTTAATTATGCAAATCTTCAAACAGTCAAAAAATAAAGAGAAAAGGATGCACCCAATGCAGCTATCACCCCACTTCCAGTGAGGTACCAGGGTGCTCCAATCACAGTCCATCTTCCCATACCTCGTCCCCACACCTCAAAGCAAATCTCAAACATCATGTTTTTGGTAAAGTATCAAGTGTCACCCTTCACAGAGTCCATCCTTGTGCCATTTCTTCACGTGCCTTTTGTCTCTCTTGTTACAGTCTCTCAATGGAATTTGGACACACTCGCCTTCCAGGAACTGAAGTCAGAGTTAACTGAGGTTCCTGCTTCCCAAATCTTGAAGGAAGGGTCATCTGGCAACCCCAGGAACAAAGAGGGGGCCAATGGTATGAAGTTACATTCCTTTCCTTTGGGCTCACCTGGCCTTTGTGTTTGTCTTGTTCTGTTTCAGAGACAGGGTACAGTAAATGCTCATCCAGGAGGGAGACAGTAACTTCCTGGAAGCATAGACATGGGTGACCTGGAGGAGCACAAACCCTCTCTGCTGCCTTGTTAAGGAAGGTCTGCAGGAAGGCAGCCTCCTTACTCCCAACACCAGCCCTGTATCCTGTACCCCACACTTGAAAGGCTGGGCAGGGCCAGGTACATAGCATGTATTATTTTAGCACACTCTGTTACTAAAGGTATTTTTCTGACCTCTGGCCATCAAGGAGAAGTACATTTATCCCTCTCCAAAGTGTTCCATGAAAGCAGACTGTGATTTCCAGAAACAGTGACTGTTAACAATGATTGCTAGCACTGAGGGGCACGCAGGGGATAGGGATATGAAACATTTAAAGTATGATACTCTGAGAAATAAGCGTCACTGTTCAGCTTCTGTGAGGAAACTGAAGACACCCATTAAAGTACAGGCATTTATCTTGATTCCATTAAATCTAAATTTTCATCTATCTCTTCACTACATTAAAAAATTGCAGGGGCTGGAGAGATGGCTCAGCGGTTAAGAACACTGACTGTTCTTGCAGAAAACCCCGGTTTGAATCCCAGCACCTACATGGCAGCTAACAACTGTCTGTAACTGCAGTTCCAGGGGATCTGACAGCCTCTTCTGTCCTCCATGGGTATTGCACAACACAGGTGCACTTACAGCAGAAATAACATACACATAAAATAAAAATAATATTCTTTTAAAAATTGCATTCAGGTTTTATTATATTTAAATGATGCATAAAACATGTGGCCAATCAGTTAGGGCCTAAAACTTTGGCATATAGAGATTATTCTTTTTTAATATTTTGTTTACTATTTTTATTTTATATATTTGAGTGCATTGCTTACATGTATGTAAGTGCACCCATGTCATGCAATGCCCATGGAGGTCAGAAGAGGGCATCAGATCCCCTGGAATTTATAAATGGTTGTTAGTCACCATATGGATGCTGGGAATTAAACCTGGGTCCTCTGCAAGAGCAGCCAGTGCTCTTAACCGCTGAGCCATCGCTCCAGTCCTAGAGATTATTCTTACAATGAAATTGATTTTGTTTGCTTTTTGAGACAGGATTTCCCTGTAGCCAGAGCTGGCCTGGAACTTGCTATGCAGACTAGGCTAGTCTCAATCTCACAGGGATCCACCTGCCTCTGCCTCCTGAGTACCATGTCAGGCACTTCTTTTTAAATAAGATGAATCAGACTTAAAAGTCATGAAAAGCAATGTAACAGACACCCATGCATCCCTGCTGAGCACAAGGAAGATGCTACAAACAGCTGGAATTCTATGCAGCCTTCTCCCTTGTAACTCTGTCACAGACGGATCACATGACACATGCGTATTTTGCTACACTAAGCATATAGGCATTCATTATATCTAAATTGACAACAACCTTATCCCAAACACCTTTATTGTCCTCCTTTACAAATAAGAAAGCTGGGGCTGGAGAGATGGCTCAGCAGTTAAGAGCACTGGCTGCTCTTGCAGAGAATCTGGGTTTGATTCCCAGAACCTACATGGCAGCTAACAACCATCCATAACTTCAGTTTTAGGGGATCTGACACCATCTCCTGGCCTCTATGGGCATTATACACATAGGTGTACTTAGCTACATGCAAGGAAAATGCCCATACACATAAAAATAAATTTAAAAAATTTTTTTAAAGCTGAAGCCTAGAGAGCAAAGTACCCCAGTGAAAGTCCCACAATCAGCAGGCAGTAGGGCCCACACATCAGCCCAGTCACATGTGCTTTCCCTGCTCCACTCCCTCAATGCTGCTGCCTGTATTTGGATATGACAATATACTGTTTAATTCATCAGGATGTGGAGCACTGGTCTGGGTAGGAGAGCCAGTCACTCTGAGGACGGCTGAAACCATCACTGGCAAGTATGGGGTGTGGATGAGAGACCCCAAGCCTGCACGCCCCTACACCCAGGAGACCACGTGGAGGATTGACACGGTTGGCACAGACATCCGCCAAGTGTTTGAGTACAGCCTTGTCAGCCAGTTTGAGCAGGGCTACCCCTCAAAGGTTCATGTGCTGCCCCGGGCTCTGGAAAGCACAGGAGCTGTGGTGTATGCAGGGAGCCTCTATTTCCAGGGGGCCAAGTCCAGAACCCTGCTCAGATATGAGCTGAACACTGAGGTGGTGAAGGCTGAGAAGGAACTCCCTGGAGCTGGCTACCATGGACAGTTCCCATATGCTTGGGGTGGCTACACTGACATTGACTTGGCCATAGACGAGAGTGGCCTCTGGGTCATCTACAGCACAGAGGAGGCCAAAGGCGCCATAGTCCTTTCCAAACTGAACCCAGAAAATCTGGAACTTGTGCATACCTGGGAGACAAACATCCGTAAGCAGTCTGTGGCCAATGCGTTTGTCATCTGTGGCACCTTGTACACCATCAGTAGCTACTCCTCAGCCCATGCAACTGTCAACTTTGCCTATGACACAGGTACAGGGATCAGCAAGACCCTGACCATCCCATTCAAGAACCGCTACAAGTACAGCAGCATGATTGACTACAACCCCCTAGAGAGGAAGCTCTTTGCCTGGGACAACTTCAACATGGTCACCTATGACATCAAGCTCTCCCAGATATGAGAAACCCCTATCCCTATCAGCAAAAGCAGGAGGAGGTGAAGTTTAAGGCTCTGGTTGGAGCAGCTGAAGGGAACAGCCAGCCATTTGTATATGGCTTCTCTCGACACCCCAAGCCTTCATGAATCCAGGACAATGTGTACAGTCATCTGACTAGAAGGGCTGGCAACCTAAGGGCTTCGTTTCATATAATAGGTTTTCTTCTGTCATTTTTAAGGGATGTTCATCTAAAACAGTTAACATCATATGGCAATCTGGGCAAAAGCTATACAGCATGGTAGTTTCTTCATGGAGCCATTGCTCTGGCAAGTTGTCTGGTTATCATAAGCCTTGGTAAGCAGTAGTTCTAACAAAAAGGATCACTCTTGTGACCAGAAGGTGCATTTACCACAGCTTGTTTCTAAGCTTCAGATACAATTTATTTGGGTGTTATGTATCCCTTTGCCTTGTGAAATAAAGTTATCTTATACATTACCTTCCCTGAAATTTGTGGGACTCTTTTCTTTCACATTTTATTATTTTTATTTTATGTGTATGAGTGTATTGCCTGCATGTAGGTAAGGTGCACCTGTGTCATACAATGACCATGGAGGTCAGAAGACGGTATCGGATCCCCTGGACCCAGAGTTATTGATGGTTGTTAGCTGCCATGTGGGTGCTGGGAATGGAAACTGGGGTCCTCTGCAAGAGCAACTAGTGCTCTTAATCACTGAGCCATCTCTCCAGACCCAGGGACTCTTTTCTTAAGAGCACAGATTCCAATCATCAGAAAGTCCACTGGGTTTCAAGATAGGACTAAAAGATGTGACAGGTGTGTGTGTGTGTGTGTGTGTGTGTGTGTGAGAGAGAGAGAGAGAGAGAGAGAGAGAGAGAGAGAGAGAGAGAGAGAGACTGACTTATAGGCTTGTGCCTGGCTTTCCTGTTTTGCCCAGGATAACACAGGGCAAACAAAGGGATCAGGTCAGCCTTGGTAGTAAGAGCCTTTACTCACTGAGCCATGTCACTGGCCCCATCTTGGCCATATTTTTTAAGTTTATATGTCAGTGGCATTAATGGTTTTGTGCCAACTATCACTACCATCTCCAGAATTCTTTCCATCTTATACAACTAAAACCATATACACATTAATAACTATTTCCTCCCTCCATTCACTATTGTGTGCACATGTTGATGTGTGTATATGTTCATGTGTGTGGCAGGTGCACATGTGCAGAGATGCACATGTACATATGCACATGTGTGCAGGCCAGAAGTCATCATTCCTTAGGCACCATCTATTCTTTTTATCTTTTGAGATAGGCTTTCCAACTAGCCTGGAACTTGCCAAGTTGACTAAGCTGGCTGACCAAGAGGGCCCCAGGGATCCACCTGTTTCCTATACCCAGTTCTGGTACCATACCTGGCTTTTTTTACATGGCTTCTGGTGATTGAACTCCATACCTGCAAGGCAAGCACTTTATGGACTGAGTTACCTCCCCAGTGCTAGTATTTTCTTTTAGTAACTGAGCTTAATTTCTTTCTTCATGGTATCTAGTAGTAGTGTACTTTATCTTGCCAAAACAACTTGGCCTTTGTCCCATCAGGGTATTTTCAGTCAATTCAGTCTTTCTATCTACGCCATTCTCCCTGAGGTGAATCTATGCTTGAGATATGTGAGGGAGAGGCACGCTGTCCTCACAGGGAAGAATCCAGGCAGAGTTTCTTTGGTTTTGCTATCAGTATAGAAACAAGCATTTGCTACTGGCACTCATGACTTCATAGTCAGTAACAGCTCTGCCAGCCTCCACATTCTGGTACCCAGACCTCTCAGATATATGGAAGAAAGGGAGGGAGGTACGGAGGCAGGAAAAGTTTTACATCACCCTCCAGAGTTTCAGGGACATTTCAGGAGTGGCCTTGAATCATAGTTCACTTTTGCTGCTGGCCCCTGCTAGGGTTGGGCTATTTCTCCTGGCGACATGCCACCCACACAGATTTTAGCCAGCAATGAGTACAGTCCCCTCTGCTCTCATGTGCCCCAAGCTACCTGCACAAGGTTTGTGTGTAATTTGTACACACAGTCCACAGATTACACGTTTTTAGTGTGACCTCACCTTGATTAACCCATCACATGAAGTGAGGTGAAGGGCTCCCCACTTCTGGCATCATGTCAGCACCCAAATAGTTTCAGATTTTGGAACGTTTTTAAACTTAGAATTTTTCAGTTTGTGTTAGGATGAAGACTTCAACGTATGACTCTGGTGGAAGACTACAATTTAGTCCATAACAAGTGGGTATTATCACACTATCTCAGACAGATACAAAGAGTAGAAAACCCCCAAATCAGAGTGCATGGACTCTTTCATCCTACTAGCTGCCAGGTGTTTAATGAGTAGAAGGCGAGAAGACATCTTTGGATGATGAGAATCACTCCCACATACAGACAGGTGAGTTGAATTGATCACGTTTGCTCAGTCCTGCCCAGGGATCTTTCATTAGCTATGCCCTGCCTTTGGGGCAGAAGAGGGCTAGAGAGAAGATGAAACTGTTCGGCTTCCAGGGCACTGGTCTCCTGCATCTCTGACTGCTCTTTTGCCTTTTGTTTTTGTTTGCTATTGCTTTCGTTTATTTTATTGGTCTCTCATTTTAGCCCCAGCCTCTTAAGATAGAGGTACTCCAGGCCTAGGGATATTCATCTTATTTAGTATTGGGGCTTTAAACAGCACCTCCATGCTGATGACACTCAAATTTACATCTCCAGGGCAGACACTACTCCCAAACTCCACATTTACATATTCATCTGCTACTTGATATCTCTATCTGGATGTTTATTAACCGTATTACCAAACCAGCAGAAACTGAACCCCTGTGTTTTCTTGTCACACCCTCCTCAAGAGACAAATCTACATTTCTTGTACCTGGTGGAACTCCATTCTTCTAATTGCTCGGGTCAAAAATGTATTACATTTGTGTGTGTGTGTGTGTGTGTGTGTGTGTGTGTGTGTGTGTGTGTGT